CTTGAGAACTAATCATTAATTAGCATGAGGCTGCTAGTATCCAGCTGGAGGACTTCTTGTTTTTCCTCACATCCAAATTTGCCTAAGTAAATCATAAGCAACGGTGTATAGTACTCTCCAAGTCACTTAGAGCAACCCACTGAGATGTCTGATGGGATCGTCAGCTAGCAAGGAGCAGCAAGGTTGCTCGGAGCCAGCTGAGGATCTGGCCCAGCACATTTTTCATGGCACAGCACTTCATTTTAATCAGCTTTTTCCCCTTCCTAATCTTCTGCGAAGCCTGGGGGTGTGTGGGGGGGAAGCTACCCAAAATGTGTGCTTTCCCTGACCAGCAGCTGTAATTCCCTGATTACATGTCGAGCTCGCTTTGTGCTCAGGGTTGTGGTGGCGTTCCCTTACATGTTCATGGCCTCATCAAACTATTCCTACGGCTCTACGGCAAGACATAAATTCTGGAGATTTCAGACTTGGAGACTTCAAAGTCTTGCTGAACCACATGGAAATGATTCTCAGAGCTACAGCTATAAAAATAATTACATTGCTTGGGGGGAAAAGTGACAAGAAATGTCCCCAAAAGAGATTTCAGTGGTGGTTACAAGATCTGTCCCGGCTCTGTAAGAGGCTGCTGTGATCTCCAAGGCTAATTTATCACCGCTACCTATAAGTCTATGAAATATGCCCCAAAAAGCACTGAAGGAAGGAATGTGAAGGGAGGTTGCAAAAGAAAAGCGTTGCAATCTTCCCCTTTGTTTTAATGAGGATACTTTGTATGATCTTAAAATTAGAGCTACTCTGCACAGATGACTGGTGTGAGGATGACTAATTTGGAGACAAATTAGGCCTACTTAACTGAAATGTATGCCTTGACTGTTCCCTTAATGACCCTTCAATGCACATCTCTCCCGATAGGACTTTTACCACAGCCCTGGCTCCAGCGAATTAAGTAATAACATGCTTTTGCCGCTCTTCTAAGCGGTCCTTCGGTTTTGATCCAACATTTTCCTTCCACCATGTGTGTGTCTAATTCTCTATGATCGGTAATAAGTTTATATCCATCTAGCCCATGGCAGATTTGTCTTTTGCATGTCTCCTTCTCTGGAGCATTTTCCTTGCACCCTCTCTTTCAAAGGTCTCTGAGCCTGAGTGTTTTCTGGCTGACGGCAGAGTATTTGGTGTCTGCTGTGTAACAGATTTATTCTTTCCCAAGAAAAGACACGAACGTAAACAGAAGATCCAAAATGCATTTTGCTGGGCTTTTAAATGCACTAAGATGAAAACCCCCTGCTACAAGCCTATTAATGTAAATACCAAACTTTACAATCCTTCCTGTCAAGGAAACATATTTACATTTTTCTAAGGATGCGTATTAAAAAAATAGGGCTTTTGGGACAAAAAGGGCTTAGTTCCAGTGTCACAACACCCCCAGTTAACTGTACTGCTCTCATAAACTATAGAATTAGGTTGTTCCCAGGGCCAGCAGAGATAACATCTGTTTGCTTCTTTAAGGACAAAATGAAATAGGATGCTAGCATTTTATACTGGAAACAGTCCTGGAAGTCTGAAGGGGCAATGGTAAGAGGGCTGCATATCACACACACATTGCAGACAGCTTCCCCAGCGCAAAAAAGATGGGAAAGGTGTTGTTAGTGCCAGTGCCGGCCCAGGGGAGGCGAAGGGCTCATCCCAAGCCCTACTGCAGCGAGTGGAAAGAAGGGGGTTGCTGGCAGACTGGTCTTACTGGGATGAGGGTTAGGGCTACGGGTTAGGGCTACATCGTCCTTTAAACTTTGCTGATGCTCCTGACATCCCGGTTGGACAGTATTTTTCCTACTAAATGGAATAACAGGAAACATTTTCTTTCCTCCTGATTTTTTTTGCAGTTTGAAGAGCATCTTGAACATGTTGAAGGAAAAAGAGAAAGGTGCCTGCAAGAGTAAGGGCACAGGTGCTGGCAATGAGGATGGGGAGATTTGGGGGAGGAAGGCTCAGCTTAGCATGTCTGTTGAAACATCCTGTTGCACTAATTGAAGTGCAAAGCTGTGCCTGCTTCTCTTGAAACTACTGGAGTAAGTTGTCTGTAATTACACGGAGCAGAACAGGAAAACCTCTCGTAGCCAGAGGAGCAAGCAGCAGTGACCTGCTGGCATTTGCAAAGGCCAGGTGGCATTCTACCAGTTCCCAAGGCTCTGATTTTCTAATCAAAAAGCTCCTCTTGATTTTTTTGCAGCTGAAGGGGAATGACCATTCTTCCTAGGAGAAACCTTTCCTTGCCTATATCTACCCAAAACCCAGGGAAAAGGGAGGATGGCTGTGGCAATCCAGCCCAAATAGAGCTCACCCCTTCATGCTCACCCAACATTTGCAGTGCTTGCTACTCCCTAGGAAAGGCAGGAGCCTACCCCAAATTCAGATAGCTATTTCTTAAGAGGTTTTTTTTGCCATCAAGACTGCAAAGGCTGCTCCCCTGTTATGCATAAAAACTCTGGCTGGGACAGACCCAGGCAGAAGTCTGTGACATGCCACCCAGCTAAGTTTGCCCATTTTAAAGGGTTTCTTGTCATTTAAAGGGATCTTGTCATTTATGTTTTTTTTTGCTGGCAGATGTAATTTTTGTCGCCATAAACGATAGAATTTGACACCACACCGCACCAGGCCATTTGTCAACAACATTTTCAACAGTTCAACCGCACGCGTGTGCATGCACACATAGGCACAAAAAGGAGAGGCAAGGGGGGAAAGTCCGGGGGCTCAGGGAACAAGCGACCTTCCTCTATAGGGGACACAAACACAGAGCAAAAAGACACCTCTAGCCACCGGGCTGGAAGTTGGGTTATGGCAAAGATGCCAAATACTGATTCACTCTGAAGCCACCTGAAAATGCATTGGGGTTTGGCTCTACATCATGGTTTTTCACTCAATCCAAAATGTCGCTCGCAATTTCTTTTAGGTAGGGACAATCTGAGCATCTACATATAAAATCCGCCTCGTCAGGGCAATGCTAACAATAATTCAACCAACAGCGATTTTTAAATATGGTTTAAAAAAAGCAGGTTTTGTTGCTGAAGTACTGTGTGATAGAGAGGAATGGTTGTATATTAGATAACAGTTTTAAAAACATCATTGGTTAATGGCAGCACATCATTTGGGAAACAACAGAATAAATGCATTGTTCCATCCCAGCACTTTACTATTCAGCCAATCTAAACTGCTGAAGAAATATGTGTTCGAGACATTTTACATCTGTTTTTGACAAGAAGCCTGGGTTTTTGCATGTGGGTTTTTTTAATCTATTTGCTGCAGCTTTTTTAGCCAGATTAGCATGGGAAAAGGCACTCTGTTTTATAAACGGAGGGTTTATCCTTTTAAAAAGTGATTTGACTTTGGCTTTTTGCAGTTGAAATTAGGGCACAGCATGCAAAAAATAGTAACACCAGCAATAGCCATAAAACCCACGACAGCAACATTACCTATTTAAACAAAACTAAACAACAGGCAGCTTGTGCAATGGATAGAGTAACCAATTTTTGAACAGCCTAACATTTTGGGGGCTCCCTAGAAGAGCATGTGGAAACCCTAATTGCAGCACCAAAATGCAAACCATTTCAGGACACGAGTAAAACATTTACTTGAAGTGGTTTCTAAAATAGTTTTAAGTCTGCATTTTACACCACTAGTAAGCCCTGGTTGAACACTTTTTGGCTTTTTCAAACAAAATGCTGTAGTTGCATCAAGGGTTTTTTAAATGAGCCATTTATTGCTGCTAAGACAAAGATGGATTTACCTCTTTAAAAAAGCCTAGCCAATGGGCTGGGATAAATTTTCTTTTAATCTTTAAGGAGCTGATTCTCTGCATGATGAAATTATTTCATTTTACATCATGTGCGACATTACGAGCGGGGGGGCGCAAATTTCCCTTTCGAATGTTTGCTGAGCGAAATGGGTTCGTGGGCTCTGCTTTATGTACCGAGCCCCAGAGAGTGACCGGCCGTATGCAAACTCCGGCTGACAAAACGCAGAGCTGCTCTGCTTAATTAGCTTGAGATGAGGGTGTTATTAAGGGCCTTTTTTTTCTCCTTTCTTACTGTTTATTCCTCCCTCCCCAAATATTACAAAGGCAACTTAAGAGGAAGTAATTTTCTGCTAATGGAAAATGATGAGGAAGGGTGTAGTGATGAGAGTAAATAAGAAACTACATCTAACACCAGCCTTTGCTTTACTGGCACTTTGGGGAAGGGAACCAAACAAATACGAAAATTTGGCAAAGTTTATTCTATCTTTGTTTGCTTTTTATTGTGTGAGGGGGAAGGGGCACAGCCCAGGGTTGCAGCCGACATCTGCTGCTTGTTTCTTTTAAGAGAAACACAACCTGGGGCAAACTCATTGCCAAACCCCGCTTGGATCCTGCAGACCCCCCGGTCCCCCCTGGCCGGGAGAGGATGCGGCTGCCCTGGGACCACTGGCTTGGCACTGGGTTTTTTGGGCACAGGCGCCTCTGGAGTGGGGCGGCAGCTGTTTCGGATCCCCTTGTCAGCCTGTTGTACTGATCGCCTTTTCCTCTCTTAAAACCCTTCCCTGAAGCAGCGCTTTCTGGCAAATCTCATGCAGCGATGGTTTCCTCCCTGTCCCTCAACAGCCAGCTCTCAACGCCAGTCCCCTCTCAGCTCCCCCATCCCTGCAGAGCAGAAACATGCTGATTTTGTTTCAAAAATGAGGCATATCTCATTTTTGCCTGCCTGGAATTTTCTTTTTTTTGAATTTTCGCAGTTGTGGGAGAGCAGGAGGGGGCCGGACACATCTATGCTGCCCGTCTCACCTCCGGGTTGGTGGCTTCAAACCCCTCACCCAGCAGCATCCCTGTGCCCCACCAAGCCATGCCACCTCTCCCTGGGCAGGACCGAGCCCCGTGGCAAAGCCAGGCTGGTGAAGGGAGCCACGGGCGCCCCATCCTCCAGCCAGATGGACACGGAGCATCATCCGGGAGAAGAGAAATCAGTACCTACCCCTTCGGCAGCTGGGCTCGCCTGGCCCGGGCGGTGGCTAGTGGGAGGCTGACATGGACCACGCTCCCTCCATCCTCCATACGGAGAAGGCATAACTCAGCCTCTCGTGAGCCACGTAACTGCAGCTCGTCATCTTACTGTCCATCTCGTCGCTCTGTAGCACCTGGTAGAGGAAGTCTATATACCGCGCCGCCAGCTTGAGGGTCTGGATTTTACTGAGTTTGTCAGAGGGCAAAGTGGGGATGATTTTCCTCAAGGCAGCAAAAGCTTCATTGAGCGACTGAGTCCTCTGCCTCTCTCTGACATTGGCCAGGATCCTCTGGCTCTGCAGTTCTTCATAAGACTGGGAGCTGGGACTGGACTTTTTCCCCCTCTTCCCTGGGTTAGGGCTGCCATCTTCGCTGGACTTCTTACTGTATCTTCTCTTCCTGCCAAATCTCTTTGGCTGCCTTTCCAGCTCCTCTTCACTGGTCCCCAAGCTATCCACAGGGGAAACAGGAGAACTGGAGCTTTCTTCCATGCTTTCTGCAAGAAGGGGAGGGGAAGAGACTTTCCCCCCCTCCTTATGTTATGTGAGCGTGTGTGTGTCTTAAATGTGCTTTAAATTCCTGAGACAGATCCTTTGGAAAAACAGGAGGGCTTTTTTTTTTTTTTTTTTTTTTGTTGACCAAACGTTTC